GGCGTCGGATAAGGAGTCATGGGCTTGGGTCGGGACGGCCGGGACGGGAATCTGCTGCGGCCCAGCGCGGGACATCTTGCGCTGCGACCGAGCGGGGTCGGGACGTCGCTGCGGCCCAGCGCTGGACATTGTGCGCTGCGGCCGAGCGTGGGGAGCATAGGTGGCCTGGAGTCGGACCGCAAGGTCCATTACCCGCTCCCAGTGAGAATTGCCGCCGGACGACCACGAAATGGCCTCCTCCTCTGGGGACCATGTGGTGGGCGGCGGATGGTGACCCAGATGCCTACTGAGGGCTCCAGATGGGGAGACTGAGTAGTACAGGTACCCAGCTCGAACCCCCGGGAGGACCTTTCCCCAATTACCCCCATTCCGCTGGAGATTGCGTGGACCGCCCACGCCAAGTCTTCCAGGGGAAAAAACTCTGCTGAGTCCTTCTTTGGTCGCGTCATTCTGTCACGGGTACGGGTGGGAGGCAGGACTCAAATGCAGACTTGTCGAAAACAAAAAGACTTTAATAGTCCAAAGGCCAAAAACACAGGATCCAGGGGAAAAACAGCAGGCAGGAACCTCCGCGACGAAAGACAAGGACATGCGTGGCTAAAGACAATGACGCGACAAGTGACACAAGAGACACACGGCTTAAATACACAAGGGAGGTGCAGGTGATTGGACACAGGTGGAAACTATTAGACAATCACAGGGGATGACGGGACAAGGCAGGAAGTGAAGTTACCCAGGGACACGAGTGGCAGAAAACTACAAAATACAACAGGAAGTGAACCCCACCGTGACACATTATGCTTCTGAATATACCTCTTCAGTTTGTGAAAGAGCCTCAGGGAATAATTCATTTTTCATAGAATATAACTTGTGTAAACTTGTCATTTCTTGTCAGTGTTCAAGTTATTTATAAGGTATAAATGTATGTTTCTTTGTTTACAATCACTTATCTTTATAAGTCATCTTAAACATTTTCACAAAACAAATCATAATGAGCCAAAGTGACAACAAAAAGAACATTTGCATCTATATTATTAATTCACTTTCATGCACAACAACAACAACACAAAGTGTATTCTGTGAACATGATGGAAAGGTCAGAGGCGTTTATGAGAATATTAAATATTCAACAATATGTTTTCAGAGGCTTCACATCAGATATAATTTGTTTTGCTGATTTACTCAAAGTCAAACTTCAGCTTTGGATATTTAGTGAAAATAAAACTGTCTGGATTCAAAAGGTTGAAATAGATATTCTCCATAAGGCGTCATGATACAGAAATAAAGAGAAAAACATACAGTATTTATACAAGATATGTACATTTATTCCCTTTAATTAATAAAATGATCACATGAAATCAGAGAATGATTAATTTACTCCGACAGGAGAGATGATCAGAGGAGCAGAGTTTATACCATCGTCATTAAAACCAGGACAGAAGAACGGGAAGAGCTTCTCAGTGAAGGAGCAGCCAGTGAAGGAGTAGATGAGAGCTGCAGCTTCTACGTCATAAAAGGAGACCACACCCTCCTCATAGTCCACAAACACCCCCACCTTCTGAGGACCAGACGTCACAGAGAGAACAACTGGAGGATCATCAACAGCATTGTATTCATTTCCATTTATCAAACATATGATCAAGTAACCATCCTGAGGACTCTGTGAGATGAATCCCTTCCTGTTGACTGACTCTCTGTTCACTCCTAAATCCCACAGAGTCTTTCCTTCAACCTGAACCTCAAAGTAGAATCTGCCTGAAGAGAAACTCTGCTTTGTTAAAACACAGTGCCAGCTAGAAAATCTCTTTGGGTTGTTTGGGAGCTTCTTCTCCACATCACTGTCTTTCACTTGTTTCCCATCGTCAGACAGGATGAGTTCAGGATGAGCTGTTTCAGGATCAAGAGTCAGATCCACTGCAAACATCTGGACCCTCTTCAGCTCAGCAAACCACTTCTTCATCTTATTACTGAGTGTCTCCTCCAGCTGAGACACAGCTCTCACCACAGTCCCCTCATATGAAGGACAAACACTGACCTCTGTCCAGTCCTTGGTGGGTGGTGGCTGATGGATGTTTGAGGACTGGAGAAGATGGAGGTGGTCTTCAGAGAGAGAGAGCTGCTCCACCTCAGCGCTCCTCTTCATCAGCTCAGAGATTTCCTCTTCCAGCTCCCTGATGAAAGCTTCAGCCTGTTTCTTTGTGGCTTCCTGCTTCTCTTCTATTGTTTTGAGGAGCTCCTTCAAGCCTTTTTCAACAGACTCCATCAGATCAGTGAAGACCTGAACACCTTCTGCTTTCTCTCTGTCTGCATCTTCCTCACTGAGGTCGACCGAGTGTTTGATCTCCTGAATCTTCACTCTTCTCTTCTGGATCATCTGCTGAATTTCAGCCTCTTTCTTCTTCAGCTCGACCTTCTTTTCTTCATATTCTTCTTCCAGAGGAACATACTCATGGTTCTTGTGGTCTAAAATAGTGCAGAGCATGCAGACACACGTCTGGTCACTCCTACAGAACAGCTCCAGAGGTTTATCGTGCTTCGTACACATCCTGCCTTCCAGGTTCTCCACAGGGTCCATCAGCTGATGTCTCTTCAGGCGTGAAACTGTCAGATGAGGCTCCAGGTGAGTCTCACAGTAGGAGAACAGACACACCAGGCAGGACTTGAGAGCCTTCACTTTGGTTCCAGTGCAGACGTCACAGGGAACTTCTCCTGGTTTGGACTCTTGTTGCTCTGAGCTGCTGCTGCTGGCTTTCTGCTGAGCAGACTGTCTGAACTGAACAACCATCTCAGAGATGAAGGTGTTGACCCTCAAATCAGGTCTGGTGATGAAGTCCTTGTTACACATTGGACACAGGTTCTGGTCGCTGGTGTTCCAGTGTTTATTGATGCAGTTCATGCAGAAGTTGTGTCCACATGGTGTGGAGACTGGATCAGTGAACACATCCAGACAGATGGAGCACAGGAACTGATCTTCAGATGGACCATAGTTTGCAGAAGCCATGTCTACACATGTTGTGGAAGAGAAGAAACACGTTTTATTTAAAATAGTTTTCATAAATAGTTTTATCTTGAAACCAGTCCAGTATGTGTCCACATGCTGTGAATAAAGAGCAGCACGCTAACAACGCTCTGCTTACTTGGTGACAAACACGTAGCGTCTCATTTAGATGACTCACACTAAAAGCCTCCAGCAGGTTCACTGTGGAACACGTTTAACTTGATCCACCAAAAGGAAACAGAGGAAGGGATCAGGAAACAGAGAGACACTAAAGTTTAAAGCACAGAGATTCAGCTCCAAGTGACTGAAGTCCTGGACAGTTTGAAGCTGTTAGACTGAGTTACTGTATCGTGGGACTGTGGATAAACCCACGTGGTTTTATTGTTAACATTCTATCAAGTAGGAAGTGAACAGAGAGGAACTTCCTGCCTGAGTAAAGTACAAGTTGTGTGTTCTTCCTGCTTGTTGAAGGTGTAAATGTGACCAGCTGTACTCACCAGTGCTCTGAAGAGACTCTGCTGTGTTGCTGAGGAACACCTGATGACGTCACTTTGACTTTTCTCTCAGAGAAACACGGAGACTTGTCTTCACTGCAGCGCGTCTGCCTCTCTGACCAACTTCACTTTCATTTCTGGAGAGTGACGTGGAAGCTCCGCCCCTCCGTGTAGCTCCGCCTCCTACTGGAGCGTCATCAGCAGGTGAGGTTTGTTTCCTCCTCTGATTCATGCTGACTGCTGGAGGATTCAGTCATCAACAGTATGCAGAGAGAGACAAAGTCTGCTGCTAGAACTCACAGCTAAAAATGACAAAAAATGACAAATATAAATAAATAAATGCTTAAATAAAAGAATAAATACAGAAATGTATAAATATAAGTTGGTACCTAAACAGGACATAATTAAATAAATCTATTTCTACATTTCTGTAATTCTGCATTCATTTATGTCTGTATTTCTGTGTCCGTATGTTAATGAGCTAGGGCGATAGAATCCTCATGCTTGAGCGGGATCGGTCAAGTAGAGTAGCGAGACAGAAGCAATCGATCCCCAGCACATCGCTCCTGTAGAGCGCGTCTAAAAGCTGCGAGCAGCGCTCGTGGCTTCGACCGTCCGGGAAGTGGCTGAGCGGCTTGAAAACCAAGTTTCTGTTTAAACGTTTAGGCAGCATAACAACAGCAGTTGTTCAGCTACATACTGTTGGTCAAGGTGCCAACATACTAACGTTCTCTTAAACTGAACTGTGATGTATTAATACTGTGGGAGACTGGCCTTACAAGGGTAAACAGTGGTACACAAACTGGAAAAGAGCCGTCAGAAACAGGTCACAGTGAATATAAATTATAATTTAGGAGATTATATTATAAACTAGAGAGGGGAGCAGTTCCCTGTGAGAACCCTCTGGGGTGGTACCACCCATCCACCACCAGGCCTTTAGATTGCCTTTGTGGGAGCTATTATTTAGTTATTTATTCTTAAATATTATTGTTTGTTGATAAAGTATTAAGACAGCTTTTTGTAATTGGTTTAATCATTTTAGTCACAAAGTATGTGTAGTTTTGGGTAATTGGACCACTAATTAATTGGGTAATACAGTGGGCACCTGGGGGTTATTTAAGGGCATAGCCAGGTAGGACCAGCATGCACCTGGGTGACATCTAGTGTTTTACCAGTGAGACAGAGTGACAGAGCGCTGCATAGGAAGGATTCTATGAAATAAATAAAACAAGAAAACACGCTTTCTTACTACGTGAAAGGAAACAAAAACTAGGTGCAGCAGCGGCCCTTTGATTGAAAGACTTGTTGTAACAAGGACAAATGACCACTACAGCCTCCGTTTGGTTGTACTCAGCCATGTGGGCCTTCACAACACATGCAACAAGTTTGTTCTGCAGCGTCTTATTTCTCTTTGCTGATTATAGCTTCTCCTCTTCACTTGATTCTAGCCGAGGTTTCAAGACTTCAATTGACGTCATTTAAGAAAAATGTCTGTAAAAATGTTAAAAAGTTCAGTAAAGCCTGTTTATTAACATGTATATCACTATATATATATTATATACACACACACACACACACATAGTGCTGTCATTGGCATTCTTTTTACTTTTGTGTTAATGTTTTTATCATGTGGAACCGAAAGGAGTTTAGGAAATAAGAATGTGATCCAACACTGATGTTCACCTCCAGAACAACAGGTGGAGTAACGTGTTTCTGTTGAAGACGACCTGCAGAGTCACGTCTTTGTGTGTGGAAGTCGTTGGTTGCTTTATTTATTTATCAGAGACTTTATTGCCCCGTGCATCCACACTGCTGCTTTTCATCAAGGACACATTTGTCCCGTATTTTCCTCCACGACTTTGTTCCCCTCGTTTGTGGAGATCTCCCTCCACGAATCAGAGGCCGTCCGGCGTCCTTATAGTCCGCCAATGACGGCTTGTAGAAGCGCTCACATTTACGCATTTCTTCACACAAAAGCTCTTCAATCTGATCTCGTAAACATTCCTCGTTTTGATAATGGCGGTAGTGTGCTATGAAAACGGAAATGTGAGACTCCGTAAAGGACGTAGTTAGCAGGAGGCTTGTGTAGCTTTTGACGCAAGTCTAGAAAAATGGGTCGACGCACACAAGGAGGTGTGAAAAGACACGCAAAGGACTTAAGAATACTGGAGCTTTGAGTTAAAGTGAATTGATAAAGTATGAACTGAAAGCTGTACAAAGTTACTACTTCATCCTGTTTAAGGCGCCCGTTCACTTTCATTATAAGCTGCTTCATTGAATTGCTGTTATCTTGGTCTGTTAACTTCTTTAGATTATTCCATATTATTTTGGAATTACCTCCTGCTTCATCAATGACTTTAATAAAAAAAAAACTAACTTCTTTCGTTACCTGGTTTCTCAACATTATGAATTTCTGCCTTTCATTTCCTGATTTAGACTTGAGTGCCAGTTTTAACACAGTCACGTTTTCTCAGTAAATTCCAGATGTCATTATTTACCAATGGAAGTGCGTTTTATTGATTTAGTTTAACTTTGGCTTTTTGAAGCAAACGGTTACCTGCGCTCTGTATTGTGGATGAGAATGAGCTTGCGGACTTCCTCAACACTTGCACCCGTTAAACAGTTGCTCCAGTCGATTCCTTGCAGAGCATCCTCAAACGCATTGGGGTCACTTTGAGGTGGTCTTAATTGATAAGCCTTTCTGGTAGTCGACATATTAAAACATCTCTTGTTAAGAGTATTAAATTATGCTCAGACGAACCAGTTACCATATTGCGTGTTTTGATCATTCTTTCTGGTTTATTGATTAAAAAAAATCAAATCAATCTGGGACTGAGAAGAGTGGATTATCCTTGTGGGTTTGTTCACTAACTGGCTCATATTAAAGCGATCCATCGTACGTTTTAGGCTTATCCTCCCAATGTACATAATAATCACCCATTAATATAACCTCTTTGTCAAAGTCACATTCCTTTAACATGGAATTAAGCTGATTATAAAATTCACATTTGGACGACGGCGGTCTGTAGAGACAGATTAGAGTAAAATGCATTTGAGATGATAGGGACACTCAGAACAATACATTCCAATTGGACATCAGTAGACCACTTAATGTGGCTGCAGTTAAGTTGTTCTTTAATGTAAAACATTACTCCTCCTTCTTTACCAGTAGATCCATCCCTTCTAAACATATTGTATCCACGCACATACAAAGCCGCAGGGGGCGAGTTTATATGCAGCCACGTTTCTGAGGGACGCAGAAGGTCCAGGTTTGAATCCACAACAAGATGTTTTATTCGATCCATTTTAAGACTTTGAATATTCAAATGCCCTCCTAACAGTCCTGTAGGTCTTGCATGTGTATCTCACAGCACACGGGCGTGAGGGATATTAACATTGAACATGTGGGCCGACAGTGAAAGAGAAAATCACCTTTCCATTGAATTGCACTTCTTAAGATAACAACAGTATTGACTCGGCTCATCAAAAACAAAACTATAGACACAGTGAACAACAGACGGGAATACCTTCACCAAGAGCGGATAAACAACATTAACCTAAAAGCCACATCAATAAGTAGAATGGAAGCTATGGGAATACCAAGGGGGGGGTGTCTAATGAGAGGAGCAGGATCTGGAAGACGCAACATTTCCCCTGCTGGCGCTGAGAGGTTTGAACCCGCGTGGCGCCGAGGAGGAGAGCCCTCCTGTCGACAACATGAGCGGCGCCACAGGGAACCGTGAGCAGTGATGCATGCATGTGATACTTGATAGAACCACTGATGTTGACCGAGAGACATTCGCAATCCGAGTTACAGTGAGCGCACCATCCAGTGTAATACCTCATTGCACCACCATGTTCTCTGAATAACGACTCGCCTTGAACACACCAGGGGTCACATGTCCAGGAGCGTGGACACTAACTTCCACACCTCTACTGAACTGCATAAATACCTGTAGGCAGCCATTGTTCTAGGAGTTCGTTGGTGGAAGCAAGGCACAGTCACTGGGTGGCCAACGGGCCGCTCTGTGGCCTGATTGCAGAAACCAGCGGCTCCTCAGCTGAGATGTTCTTCTCAGTTTTCTTCTCAACATTACCATCGATGGACATTATGTAAATTTCTTTTTGCAAATACTGCTACTTTTAAAAGATGATAAATGAAACCAGAAAAACTTGACGTCATCAGCTTATTCCGTACTGCATCAACCTCCCAACACCTGCGCCATGTTTCCAGCGCTGTGCCCCCAAAGGAGATGTGCTTCAGTAGTATTTGGAGGTGGAATCTAAGATGGACGTCCATGGGTCGCTCCTCTGCTTCCAGGAGGATGTAAAGTCAGCGGGCAGCTTCTTCAAGACTGTCAAACACTGTTTGGTCAACTTCCACATCCTCGTGGACATTGAGTTGAGCCAAGTCCTCTGTCCCTTTATCAGCCCAAACTGAAGGATGTCCTTCTGAACGCCGTTCTCTGCATCGTTTGCTAACAATCACAATTGATTTGAAACCGTTTGTAAAAACAATCCCACGTTTCCCAAATGCAAACGACAACTTCAACGATGTGTGCGACTAAGACAGAAATAGTCGACCAGGAGCGATCACACTCCTGTGACATGTAACG